GCTTCTGGAAGTTAACTAATTTCTATCTTCCTCTGTGTAAAGCTTCATGTGAATCAGATTTAAATTCTAAAAGTAAGTGTCCCTGATTCAGTAGTTATTTGATGAGTGTCTTCTAGGTGATAGGTGGAGTATAGGTGCTAAGCAGCAGTTCTGATAATCCCAACAAGCAAAAGACCAGTATAATTCCTTTTCTTTTTTAAATATATTTTTGTTGATTTCAGAGAGGAAGGGAGAGGGAGAGAGATAGGAACATCAATGATGAGAGAATCATTGATTGGCTGCCTCCTGCATGCCCTCTACTGGGGATTGAGCCTGCAAACTGGGCATGTACCCTTGACCAGAATCAAACCTGGGACCCTTCAGTCCACAGGATAGTGCTCTATCCACTGAGCCAAACCGGCTAGGGCTGGTGTAATTCCTTTTGATGCTGTCAACCACAACATGGCACTTTGCATGCTGAGAAGTAGAGCTTTTAAAGGGAGAAATATACTTTCATGAGATGGTATTAGAAAATCTTGTTCTAGTAATAGGTGGAACTATAAGAAAATCCAGTGTCTAAGAACATGTAATTTTCACTATTTGTAGTATCTGTTGTAGGATAATGCATTAAGCTGCAATAGACTTAACGGCTCAGAACATTTATTATCTCACTAGAGGCCCGGTGCACAAAAAATTTGTGCACTTGGGGGGGTCCCTCAGCCCGGCCTGTGCCCTCTCACAGTCTGAGACCCCTCGGAGGATGTCCACCTGCTGGCTTAGGCCCGCTCCCTGGGGGATCAGGCCCAAGCTGGCAGTCAGACATCCCTCTGGCAGCCCAGGAGCCCTCGGGGGATGTCCACTTACCAGCGGGGAGCATATCTAAGCTGCAGTCGGACATCCTTAGTGCTGCTGAGGAGGCAGGAGAGGCTCCCGCCACCATCACTGTGCTGGCAGCTGGCAGCCTGGCTTGTGGCTGAGCAGAGCTCCCCCTGTGGGACCGCACTGACCACCAGGGGACAGCTCCTGCATTGAGCAACTGCCCCCTCGTGGTCAGTGTGTGTCATAGTGACCAGTAATTCCCAGTTGTTCTGCTGTTAGGGTCAGTTTGCATATTACCCTTTTATTATATAGGATAGAGGCCTGGTGCACGGGTGGGGGCTGGCTGGTTTGCCCTGA